TCAACAATTTTAAAGCCTCCAGCTTTGAGATCCCGTCTCAAGGTTTCCTTAAAGGGTTGAGAGTTATAAATACGAAAGCCGCGGGACGTTCCAGCAGCAACGCAGCCATAATCCTGATTCCAAGATAACGAAAGTAAGTCTGTTTGCTGGTCATCGTCTTCCGGAGAGGCTCCGACTCCCAGCGATGGCGATGGCGATGGCGATGGCGATGGCGTTGGCGTTGAATTCATCAAGCAATTGAAGCAACAAAAAAATTGGGCTCTTGAGATGATATGATGCAAGCTCTACATCAAACGAAAACGTAGATTAAGGAAAAAAGAAAAAAACAAACAAAAACAAAACACTAGGAATCGAAATTGCAGGTTGCAATTAAGATCGTCGTCGTCGTCGGCTCACAAAACGCACTCACTAAGATTGAAATTTAAGTTACCGATTGCATTCAATTGGAGGTGTATGAAGGCAGGGAGAGGAGGGAGCAGAAGCGCACACACGAAACAGAATCCCCTTTTTTCCTTCTCTATCTCCGTGTTCTGCACATTGGATCTGGCCTTTTTTTTTTTTCCTTTTCTTTTAATCCCAAGCTTTTGTATTTCTCCTCTTTTCTTTGCTCTGCTCTGGACTCTGGTTAAAGACAAACCATATAACTTTAAACTTAGGCTGACCTACACAATCAATGAAGAAAACTCACCCCTTTCGCCAACAATTCACCGCTCAAGCCCTCAAGTAACACAGTCCTGCGTTTTACTTTTGCTTGCCCTTACCATTACATGGCAGGAAGCAGTAACAAATATGAGAGAGAGCCCAAGAGTAAGGCTCAAGGCCCATGTGTGTTGTCAATTGAAGCCCAATGCCTATGTATCATGCTTGTAAAAAAAAACACACACACAATTAGTGAGTGAATTTGGGGAAGAGATCCACTTCCTTATAAATTTTACAAATTAAATTTATATAAAATCTTAATTATTCATTTCTTCACTTTTAATACTTGAAATTTATTCACTTTTTATCCTATTTATTAAAGATAATTATTTTTTTATTTAAAAAGTCATGATCAATCTAACAATTGAAAGTAAAAAAATGAATTATTGAGATTTTATATAATTGTAATGTGTGTTGAGGTAGAGGTTGATGAGTCAGTAATGATGATGACATGGAAGCTGACTAAGATGCCCCGATGGGAGATGACGAGGGCCCTTTTGGATTGCTCCAATTTCGTGTGCAAGAGGCTACATGTCACAAGTCGTCTTCTCTTCTCTTCTCTTCTCTAGTAAGGATGAACTACAAGCTTCCTCTAGTGAAGTCTAGAAATAGAGCTTCCCCAACCAAGCCTAAAGAGTGGGGTGATGATGGTGCTTATAAGATCATGATTACACAGTCACCAAAATTAATGAATAGGTGTTGAGCAACCTGATGCCTCCAACAAATTTTGAAAATGAACCTTCTCCAGCCAGACTACAAGAGTTAGATGGAGATGATACCTCTAGACAATGATTATACAACCATAAAAAAAGAGACAAATAGGTGAGTTACATTATAACTAGAGTAGCTTGAATAGAAAATGTAAATATCAACTCGTACAAAAAAAATAAGCATATCTAAATGTAATATGTTGTAGAAGAGAAGAAATAAATAGTAGATGTGCCTTCTACTATCTTCAAAAAATGTGTGAACTTTTAAAATAAATAACCTTTAAATTGGAGTTCAAAGTATAATAATTTCCTTCTTCAAACTTATGCATACAAGAAGTAACAAACTAGAAAGTAGTGACAGGAGAAGAAAGAATGACCATTGTGAGGGCTTTTGATGGATGACTTAATCTCGCATGTTCGTGCTAACTTTGCTGTTAATTGATCCTCTGATACTCAAGAAAAATAACCTAGAACCTTAGGTTGTGATGTGAGATCTTCTAGCCATAATGAACAATATGTCTAGGGAGTAATTTGTGGGGCTAGAAGTATAGAAAAATAATGTAAAAAATGAAGGTTTCTAGGGACTATATACATGTATGTGAGTTTAGAAATGAAGAAGAAATAAGTTGCAACAAGTCTAGGAATTTTAGTGAGAGAGTTGGGAGGTTGAAGATGAAGATGAGAGAGTAAAATGAGATCTAGTATCTTCTCGTGTGTTTAGATGCTTGTGGAATGAATAATCCCCTTTTTGTATGCCAAAAAGGAAGGAAAAATCAAATATATATAGCTAGTGGCATTTTGATAATTTTGGGTTTGTAAGGCCAGAATAGCCTAACAATCCAACAGCTAGATTTGCGTTGGGTGAGGGTAGGTGTCAAGTTTTGGGATGATCTGGGCACTTTTGACAAGACTGATGTGTAATTATGATTTCTCTAATGTGTTTAGCGATTAACTATTGGTTCGTTGAAGCCCTGCCATTCTTGGCAACTTTATATCTATATGTAGTGCCATATTTGGGATGTAATTGAATTACTATTGACAAATCTTCCTTTGTCCAAGATTTTGATAGATCTTCCAAGCAAAATATAATCTCTTTTGCCAATTTCCAATACAAAGAAACTTGTGTAGCTGTCCATGGGAAACTTGCACAGCCGTCCAAACATTAAATGTTGAGCAAATTGATGATGGAGACTCAAATGACATCTCTAATTGATCTTCAACAAGATTGCAAGTCTTCTAATTAGCATCAAACAATGTAATTTTGGGATCAAGTTTTGCCTTCACATGTTTATCACCCATCCCTTCCTCACAAGGACGAGCAGCATCGCTTCCCCCAAGCTTGGCTAGCGCAAATACTATACTTCGCTAGGCGAGTAATGTTCATCCATCCATGCCTACCAAGTCACTATTCCCATAATTTACCCAAATACTCTCTATGAGCTTGGATTCATGGGTTCATTAATGACTTACATATAAAGATAATGACCAGTTGATGAAAATGATGAAATATGATAAGGAAATAATAAAGGAAAGAGACTTTCTTGTGTTTGTCTAGCAATGCAACCATGTATTGTAACATTAGACAAAGCTGGGCCTTTTGGTAAATGCACATTCAAGGCATCAATGGGCCCTTAGGTCGAGGCAAATCTTGATGACATGGAGACTACCTAAACTCGAGTTCAACTCTTTATAAAAACGTGCATCAATAATGTATAAAATTTGGACCTTGATTAGTGCATACCCGGATCCAACACCCGAGTGTGCACCCTTACATAAAAAAAAATATATATATATATATATATATTGGACCGAGTGGTGATGGGCTTTTTTTTTTTCAGTGGGGAGTGTGCACATTCAGGTGTTGGATCCAGGTATGCACACATCATTTTCCATAAAATTTATATATAAATAGATATCCCTTCTCATGAATTTAATTTCTTTCATTTAACTACTATCTTCTTTTACTTGCTTTAATCTCTTAATTTTATGTAAATTAACTTAGATAATTTTATATAAAGGAATTTTTAATTTGTGTGTTCTTATGGAACAAGTTAAGA